TGATGTGTGACTGCATACATACGTGATCGGCATTGAGAGCGAAAACACATCGCTTGCGCTGCATTTGTCAGGACCACTGTTGTAACTATCATTCCTTCTCCCTTACAACGTTTACACGGGTTCGGCTATAACGGCATCGTCCGTATACACCTTTCTACGTGGTTGGTATTACAGCTTGAGGGTTCGGTGCATAGCGTCCCACGGGACGTCACCTTGCCGTCTCTTGACAATGACCTACAATCTTGTGATACTGGATGGGAAGGAGGATTATCTTGCCGATAGGCGAGAGATCAATCCGGAGTTAAGGGAAACGGGAGTTATCCCTGATGAGGCCGTCACTTGCCAGATTGTGGTTCCCTCGAAGACGAGGTTGGGTGAATACCTCCCGAATTACGAGGAGACCGTGGGCACTGTTGCAGGACGGGAGGCGGCGAAGGAGTTGATGAGACTGCTCTCGTGCGATTTCGACGGCTTGGTCATCAATTCAAAGAGAGTCTCGGAGTTATTCGAGGAACGTGTGCTGAAGGAGACCGGACGCGAGGCTGGAAACTGGGTGAAAAGTGACCAGGCCATCTGGTTCCTGAAGGAGATTTCGGGCATGGAGAACGCTGAGATGTCTTGGAAGTTCTTCATTCCGACGCTTAAAGCTTTCCCGATAGGGCAAGTGGAGGCGATGCTCATGGTCATGTACGACGGGGATGGCGTTCTCCTCAAGGAGAGCACCAGGTTGGTTGCCGTTAGGCACACGCGGATCGGACGCGACTTGAGTTACAGTGCCGTTAGGCACAGGTATACTCAGGAAGATGCACCTGGCGGATCTCTGATGTATGAGATGCATTGGAATGAACTCCCCATGGTGGGATACGTCATCATGAAGTTCTCGGACTTTCGGAAGGCGGTTCAGCTCCAAAGGGTGAGGCGAAATGGAAAGGCCATGATCGAGATATTGATCACGAGGCCCGATGTGTACGAGACCATTGGGGATGGTAGGCAGGATGAGGGCCTGATCCCACTTGTGGGAGCCATGGCGCCGGATGCTGAGGTATCGCCTTCGTGGTATGTCAGGGACAGGCTGCGGAACTACTCCGGTAGGTACGTGGTGGTAATGGTGGATCTTCGGGTGCACTGGTCCTTGGTTGGACCCGTGTTTTTGACGAGAAGGAAGACTCTTGCCGTTAGGAACGAGATCCACATGGGGGCTTGGAAGGCGGCGTATATGTACGATGATTACACGATAGTGTACCATCGGGCATGGGACTACGGTGACTTCACCCCCGTTAGGGGAGAGCACAAGCGATCACGGGAAGAGATCAGGCTGAATGTGACTGCCACGTTCTGCTTGAGGTGCGCAGAATTGATGCCGAATGGGATGCACTTGTGTCCCGGGTGCGCGCTCCCGGTCTTTTACCCGAACTTTATCCCCAACGCGGAGGAAAAGGACTTCGAAACGTGCCACATCGTGCCGGAGTGGGTGAGGACCATGGGGCAGTTCAAGCCCAGGAGGATTCCCTCCGAAGTGGTCGGAGTCATCAAGAGGAATTTGATTTCCTATTCAATGGCATCCGATCTAAGGATGACGGTGCAGAGCGGCATCAGACTTCCCCCTTATCTTGGTGAAGACAAGGGAGGTGTCGATGCGGCGTGGGATGAGCTGGCGAAGGTGCTCTTCCAATTCTCCTATGTGTCCGGGATTTCGGCCTCGGATGCGTTTGTGGAGAAGTGGGTGGCGAAGCACCTGATCAAGACCAACCAAGTCGATAGATTTGAGTCGGTCACGGAGTACTTCCGGGCCAACCCAAGACACGCTGCTCAGTGGGGTAGGCGTATGACGACTTCCGTTAGGAAGTTCGCTCGTCATGACACGTACTTGTCATTCTATATTCCGATGGCATACGTGATTGGTTCTGCGGCTGGTCATCTGACCCCATTGTACCCGACCCATCGAAAGGACGTGGACATCCTGGAGAGTCATGCGTTGATTTCGCAGCTCAGGAAGTACATGGTATCGGAGACGGGGTACGATGAGAAGAAGAGGTTGAAGGAGGCGATAGCCAAGGTGCAGAAGGCGATCAGCGCCGGACAGTCGGAGCCTCCCGCACCCTTCCGTGACCCGTTCGTCTACGTTAGTGACGAAAGGGTGAGGACGGTTCTTGACGGTCGTCAACCCGAACCTTTGAACGTGGACATCGAGGGACTCCAATCGGTGCATCATGCTGCGCCGGGTCCTGGTCCCAAGCAGGAGCCGGTCCCCAAGGGCGGAAAAGGAAAAGGGAAAAAGGGGGAAAAGGGCGGTAAGGGCGGTAGTCCTTCCGGCCCGCCACCAAAATCAGGTGAAGTGCCGGGTAAAGGATCCGGTAAGGGCGGTAGCCCATCCGTCCCAAAGGCGAAGGATGACGCTGGACCTGCTCCGATGGAGGTTGATGCAGCAGCAGCTCAGCCGAAGAAGTCTTGGGCCGAGATGGTGGTTGAAGGGGCCAGGCCGAGTGCCAAGGCTAAAGTGACCCCGGTTCCTAAGGCAGAGCCGAAAGGGAAGGCTGCTTCGGCATCTGAGGCGAGGAGTGCTCCGGCTCCAAAAGCTGTGGCTAAGGAGACGAAGCAGGCCGAACCGAAGGTTGAGGTCAAGAAGGAGAAGACAGGCGGAGGTGACGCTCCCGGCGGTAGCCGCGGGTCGGCCGAAGGGCAGAAGAGAGAAAGGAAGTCCCGTTGGGATCCCGACGAGGCTGCGAAGGAGTCGACAAAGCGGGAGGCATCCACGAGGCCTGGCGACGTCGACAGCAGACCAGGTGCGGCAGCGAGAGAAGCTAGCGGGGATGATCTTCACTCCGCGCTTGGCAGATCTTCGGCAAAGGATGCGGTAGCGCCTTTGACTGCCTCCAAGGCGATGGCAAAGAAGCCTGAAGGCGGGGAGATCCGGCTGCAGTCTGCTGAGCGGGCCGCGGCGAGCCCGGTGGAGGGTCACTTCCTGGTGCTGCCTGAGAGTTCGGTGGTGGACGCTTTCTTGACGATCTCCACCAACAGAGTGCTGAACAAGCAGGTTAGGGATTTCATCAGAAATGGTGAGGACGCGTCGGCACTGGAAGCTCTCAACCAGATCGTGACGAACTCTCAATCTGGGAGGAGGCGTAGGGAATCGGATGTTTCCCGTACTCCTTCTCGGAGGTCCGTTAGGACCGTGGACACCAGGGATTCCAGAGAGTCGAGGAGGCGCAGATATCGTCCGCGGCGCGAGGATGATCGCGACAGGAGGAGGGACGATGCTCGTGATCGTCGTGATGATGATTCACTCGATCGGGAGCGAGATCGAAGGCGAGATGATCGCAGGAGATCCGAAAGGGATCGTGATAGGGACCGTGCGCGGGGCGGACGTGACCGGAGGAGACGTGACGATAGCCGGTAGGCTGAGTCACGAGGATTGCGGCCGATAGGCTTGCGTCCATTCTCCAATGGTCGGCGCGGTGCGGAGGTGGTGATGTTCCTCCCGGACCGCTGAGGCGCGGAGGTCATGTCTCTCCCATACCGCTGCTGGGCTGCTGGACGTGTTCATCAGGGAGCAGTGTGAGTGAGAGGGAAAGCAAACTGATGGGGGGTTACTCCCGGGTTTGCAGAATTCAAGCATTTTTTTCAGGTACGCATGGTCAGGAGTACCTCTTGCCGTTAGGCGAGGGTACTAATGGACATACGTTATCTTTTATTTCATGGCTTCTGATAAGAATTAAACTTCTTGCATTGTTGATGCAAACAGTTGTGACCTAGTGTCGTCATGTGGACTTTTCCACAAGGTATGTTGGACAGCGTTACCCCGATTAATTCGGGGTGGTGGCGGGAATTTAATGCCCGGGATGTCGCGCAACTGCCTTTGTGGGTTTGCTCCACCGCTGACGGCGGTAGTGTCCAGCTGTTTGCGGACACATGCGAGCAGTTAAATCCTATCAGTAAATGGCACGCTCCACCCGTCATAGGACGGGCTCCTCGTGAGGGGGGTGTGATTAGCCATGGTTAATATCATCATCAGGGATGTCGCGTTAGTGACCGACCTGTGGTGTTTTGGCTCAAGTTTTGGGTTCCGTCGCGCCTATGGGCGTCGCCGAACCCCTGCGTCGACCGACGGCATCTCGGGGGAGAAAGAGACCTCGGGCCGCCGCCAGGTTGGTAGGGACCAGTCGTGCGGCCTGTTGTCGACCAAGGTTGCGGGTTAACCCTTTTCTTGTTTGGTTTGTTTTCCTTTGGTTGTTGTTCTCTGGTGTGTGGGAAACCCTGATCTTTGGGACCGGGGATTGGTTTGCTTTTGGGGAACCTTTCTTTTGTGGCTTGTTTACCCCAACTTACCCATTGCCTGGGCACAGGCTCGTGCCCGAATCACATAATCTTAAGTAGAAACAGTTGTGACGCTCCGTCCTCCGTGAACCTTTGCATTCAACAGCCCTTAGGTGCGGGGTGGGGTTAGGCGGGGTTTGGTGTTCAAACATGCATCAGCTTTTCCGAAAAGCGAAGCACATGTTGTTCCCCAGCTGGTCAAAGGGCACCAACACACTTTTCAGGCGCCTTTAAAGTGCTCGAGCTGACTCTTACAGCAGGCTGGAATCCAAACCCCTCCGCCTGATGTGTGCTGGTTGATTTTATTCTTTGGTTTTGTCCATCGTTCCTGGCGTACTTCTTGACCCTCAGGACCCCCTTCACGACAGCAAATCCTGCAGTTGATAGATGGTTTGTCCGAGTATTTTCCGGAACTCATAAATAGCCAGTGTGAATTGGATTTTGTCCATCCGTGTAGTCATGCTTTGATTCATTACTAAGTGGTGACCTTGCCGGCTCCACATTTCCCACCGTGTGACTTACGTGGCCTTACTTTGTTCTCCTCATGAAGACAAAAGGTTACATACTTTGGTCGTGGTATGTCTTCAAATAAGAAGGCCTCCTCATGAACAATTAAGAAAGTATTTTTCTTAGTGGTCTGTCTTCAAACTAAATCCAATGGGAAACAAGGGAACACTCGCCTTCAGGCTGTGGGCAGGGAGGCCCGAGCCCTCCACTGTTCCGCGGTGGTGGCGCAGGTGCGGGGCGAAGTTGACCACAGACCTTGGTGTCTGGTTTTAGGTCAGCTTGCTTGCCAAATGGTTCCACAGGGCACCAGCTGAAGCCTGCTGGTTTCCAGCCCCTCACTACTCCCATGGCTGAATGGTGCACAGGGAACTGGGGGGAAACTTTTCTGGGGTTTTGTTGGTTTGCTCCAGGTTTTCTTGGGTTTTCCCCAGGTTTTCTAGGTTTTCTCCAGGTTTTCAACCGGGATCTCTCCAGGCGGTGGCCTCCGACCTCTCGGAGGACCCGGAGGACATGGACGAGAACCTGAAGGATAGCCCGCGGTTTTGAACCGAAAAACCCATCAGGCAGTAGCCGGTGCCGTCTTTGAGGGCTTTGACCCCCCGAATCCAGGGGTACGAACAAAAACATATCTGGGGTTGGGTTGCCCCCAAGGGGTCGGGGGTCCGTGTTGTTTGTTGTTGTTGTTTCTTGTTCCGGCTTGTCCGATCTTCCGGGCCTACTGCAAGTTGTTGTCCTTGTTTTGTTTTGTGTGTTTCCCTGTAAATACCAACAGTGAGCTTTTTTTTTCTCTGGCGGGATGTAAAGTGCGAGATGTTTTATCCCCGTCACCCCAAAGATTGGAGTCGGGGAACACATCTATTTCAGCCGTGGTGTGTTTAGGATTATCCCTTGACACCTTTCTCGACACATTTTAGGGACATTTGGATTGGAAGGAAACTGCAAAAACCTTGGTGCCTGTCCTTTTCAGTCCTTTCATAGGTCGTTTCATTGGTGGGCATGATTCGTGGGTGCATGTTTTTGGGGAACCATCACGGGATTGTTCGCAGGGTCTGGCTTCAGTCTGTGTTTTTCTATCAGGCCAGTTGGCGGTTTGAAGCGTCCTATAGCGATACCTTTCTGTAAGTTGCCTACTTTCATGGTCTGAATAAGTGCCTGGAGACCTGTGGAGCAAGTGAAAACTGAATCAAGTCACGGGTCACGGGCTGCTTCCTTTCTTTCGCACTGAGCACAGCCCGGTTGCAACAAGCGAGCCACGTTCAGCAGTCACCTCATCGTGGGACTTTGGGCCTGTGATGGCTTTGGGGGGCCCTCCCTGTAAAACGATCAGGCAGTCACACGGACGGGCAAGCGTTGAACAAATACTAGGGCCGTTGTCGTTTGTCCCCCGGTCGTGTTAGGACTGTGAATTTACATAGCACTTCTTGCGGCTTGTGAATCGACAGCATGTGAGATTGAATCATTGCGGGACCCCCTTCTCCCCTCGAGTGGATCCCAGAGCCAGATCGATATGTTGGCAGGTCAAGACGCTGCGGTGTTTGCAGCACGCACTGTAGTGAGACGGACTGCCCCCGGAAATGCGAGTTGACCATTCTGGACCTTCTTTGGGAAATTAGACTGCCAGACTACCTTATCGGAATCATGGCCCCAGCCTTCTTGCTTGCTTGAGTCGCGGCCGCCAGCCATCTCTCCTTGTACAAGGGCATTCTCAGTCATAGATGGAGGTGCTATACAGTTTCAGGGGCACGTGCTGCTTGCATCCTGAATATGGTTGCTCTAAGTTATGCTCCATAGCCCACACCTCCAAGACTCATACCTCCAAAACCCCCACCTAAGCTCACTTCCTGAGTTCATGAACTTTAGACTTTTTGGGAAGACCATTTTAGTGGAACATATAAAGTTTGTTTTTGGGCCATCCACTCAGCTGGTGAGTAAGACTTAGACCAAAAGCCACACCTGACCAACCCGTTTCGGGGCCTCAGGAGACGGCGAGGCTCACCACTGCGAGCATGCCTCCCGCACCTGAGCTTGTGTACGCCACGTGCGTATCACGTGCGTTCCGCTGGGTATGCCCTGTATGGCCCATACTGTGAACATGGGTTTAATAGGTAAAAACATGGAGAGGAAGTACGGGAAATATGACAAACGTCGTGATAAGCCCTGGTCAAGAAGGCAACGAAATGCTCACCTGCCAAAGCGAATGTTTAACATCTTGGTTTTCCCCTGTGTGGACCATGTTCAGTCATTGTCCTACAAGCTGCCTACAGTGTTTGGGGAGAATTTGCGGTTCCCTTTTTTGTAGCGCACCCATGATGATTTGTGGGCGTTCCGGTAATGTACGGGGCTCAATGGGGACCAACAAAATGCATTGGCACCTGGGAAGCTGAGCCCTGAAAACGGTCAGGGTTTTTGTGATTCTTGGGGTGGGGGAAACCGCCTTTCAACTCAGCAAAGAAAAGCGACAATTATCTTCCATTGCTTCATAATATGCTTTATGTTCCCCCGTTCTGAGAGGACATCTATCACTACTGGACATACTCTGTTCCTGAAGGCTTAAGCAAATGCATGTTAGACTTGATTGCTTTGAGGAGCCCTGACAGCGAATCACTGAGACTCCTTAGGCCGCATAGGGCCTGGGGGAAACATGGAAGAAGCTCGCAAGTGGGAGTACCTACCTGGGTGCTCCGGTTTTTTGCTTAGTTGGTGGTTTGGATTTGTCTGCTTTTTGTTGAGGGTAATTGGGAAGCTACCCCGGGTACACCTCCGAATCTCCAATCTGCATCGCAAGGGGTTCAACTGTTGCATTGTAATAAACAAGACACCTGCACAACACCTAATTAATCAATTAGTTGGGGGAACCATGGGTTATCATCAACCGATTTTGATTTGGTACTCAGCGAGATGCCTGATTATTTTCCAATTGTGAACCCCGAGCTTTCTCATCGACCCCTTCCCACCTACCCTCAAACCATACCCCCTACGCACAAATTATATTGGGGTGGGATACGGGTTGAATTACCCCAAATTTGTGTTTGCCAACCAAACCTGCAATTCATCGTGGGGCAGTTGGATGCAATTATAACAGGACAACATCTGTGAAGTATATTGGATTAAATGAGAAAACCGGACCTAAGCTAGCCCCAAAAAAATGTTTGGATAGGGGTTGTGGAGAATGGGGCACCATCGTCTCCACTGAAATAGTTCTGACGTGTGCCCTTTTGATCCCATTTAGATGTTTGTTGCAGATCCGGCGCACGGTTTCCACGAAACCATCGAATACATTCGGTCTCCGCCTCCCTGCTAGCGCAAAGACCCCCAATTGAGAAAAGTAGTATGCTAGGCTTTCGACAAAGCAAAGTAGGCTCTTGACAAGGCAAAGCACCCTGCTAGCGCAAAGACTCCCCGATACGGCAAAGCATGCTAGATACCCACAGTTGATCCGGGGGTGGCTCAGTTGCGGGGCCGTGATGAGCTGTGCCAACATGTTTTTTGAAGGGTGGAGCATAGGTAATGTATTCCTGGGTTTGCTGCTTTACTCGAAGAATCCGGATTCTGTATATTGACTGGGTGTTGCCCTGAGCTAGATTCCGCGTACATGGGCTATCTGCCGGCTGCAAGCTTACAGCCATTTTGTGGCAAATTTTAAGGAAGCTAGGGAAAGAGGGGGTTAGCGGCCAGGGGGTTGGGACCCGAGGACCATCCGTTGGCTTCCTTGGTGCGGCAGAACTTGGGCGCGAAGTCAGACCCCCGCTCCACCAAGCGCGCATTGAGGGAGGTGACGAGCCTCGGCCGAAGGCGTGCCTTGAGGTCTCGATGAGTCACAAGTTGTGCGCTAATGTGGATCACTGATTTATAAAGGCGGAACCCAAACAAAGAGTCACTTTGAGGGGAGTCAATTGAGGAACCCGCTAAAGTAAATTGGGGGTCAGAGGCCCTGCCAAGTAGTGTCCAACCAAGCAATTGCTATATAGTAGTGGTTTAGCTTAGCACTGGCTTAGTATTTCCTTAGTAGTGCAATTCTCAGACCAAGGAGCTGAATAAGTACGCTCAGCTCTCCTGAATTTGAAACCCTTCTGTTAATCGCTGACCAGAGTTAAAGGTTTTGTCAGGAAACTGGCGTGAATCCACTTCGGGGTACTCATTAAGTTACTTGGGTACTAGCAGGTTGCCAAACTGAGTGTTCCCTAGGGTTCCTTTCATGGGGCTTGCGGGGGAGGGAGGGGAGGGGGAGCCCAAATAAGCCCTAAATAGGGCCTTAAGCTCCTCCCTCCCCCCCAGCCCCCATGATCCTTGTTTCAACCTAGCTGGGAGGAGGACCTGAAACTTTGTCGGAAGCTTTCTATGCCCCGGCCCAAAGCGAATGGACCTTTTCGGTTTGCTGAGTTTGGTCCAGTTTAGCCATGGCCCTTCATTTCTGGTAAATAGACATCTAAGCAGGTGCTGTTTAGCGCATGTCACCTTCTTGGGATTTAAGCACATCAGGTTCTTTTGAACTGAGTGTACTTTGTCCTTCCCCAGAATTAGCTCCCCTGTTTGGTTTTTTGCTTTTTTGGGGTCCATTTGTTTTCCACTAACCAGGCAAATGAGTTTTTGTTTTGCTGGGGTCCTAATTCCAGCCTACTTTATGTGATGGTTAAAGGGACACCAAACGAATCTTGTTGGAGGATGTGTTTTCGGGTTTGATGCAGTTTGTTCGGGTCCCAAAAGCGCGTACCCCAAATGAACGGGAACTTTCCCCCGCACATTTTGGCGAAACAAGCATCTCCAATGCTCCCGAATGCCTTCCCTAGCTGAAGTCCTAAAGTCTGCGAGATAGTTGTTACCCGCGCTGAAAATGAGCCCGAGGCCCTATATTTGCCCTGCTCAGATCCCACCTGTCCGACTTCCAATCTTGGAGTTTCTGCCTTGTCATGAAATGAATATGAATGTGTAGGCCAGTTGAGTTGACAAATGTCAGCTTTTGCGTTGGGTGATGTCTTCGTCATTTCAATTAATGCAAGAAAGATGGACAAGACGAGCCGACCGGGCCGAATCCGTCGCAACTGGGTGCCCAGGAAGAAGACGGTGTCCAACATGCCCCTTACGCCCCCTGCCACTGCAGGCCGGGGCGTTCCTGCAGGGTTCGTTTGGTGTTTTAAGCACCGTTTGGCACAATTTAAAGTGAGTGTCAATTTGGGTGGGTGATGCTTAAAGTTGAAATATCATTGAATGTCGGGAACCCTATTCTTCGGTTCTTTGCTTCGTCGGTTCCCGATAATTTTAGGGGTCTCGGCTCCCGAGTGCGGCATCAGAAGCGAGCTTTAGACTGACGGGCTTTCTGTCAAACATTATGAGGGGATCATGTTGTTCAACCACATCCGCGGAAGGGTCCGCTCATGTGAAACAAAACCCCTTAGGCCTATATTCCTTTTTGGGGTTTTGTGGGGGTTCCATTGAGCCCACTAAAAGTTAAGCTTGTAGCAGGGGATCTGGGGACCAGCTAGGAGCGTCTGCCACTTGCTGACGTCAGACGCCAGGTGAGGAGCGCAAGGAGAAGCCGCCCTCCAAGGAGTCGGTGCCCGAGACACCGCCCAACTCTCGGAAACGTCTTGAGGAGCCGAGGGGTGGCCTAGGAACATGCCGGATGGGTTTGTCACTTTGGGGGGAAACCCCCCGCAAAACAAAAGAGCACAAACACAAATTCATGTCCAAAACGGTTTTTTTCTTTTTTGGAGTCGCTTGACCACCGACAATTGGTCGGTAACCCCGAAAAAGCAGACACAGCCATGTACTGATTTGGGGCCTGGGCAACCCACTTGGCAAGTATCCAGAGAATCTCACCGATTCGGGGGTAGAACGAGCAACAGCCATGATAAAGGTCCTTTTCTGGGGGTTCCAATTCTGAATTCAGCTTTGGAACTAGTGTAAATGTTGCAGATATCTTATGCACCTATGCCTGCTAAGTTGTGTATGGGTGTGTCCCTTTTTAGGGGACCCCCCCGCCCAAAAAAATACTAAGGAGATAGTTTACTGTTGTTTTCCCTTTAGCACCTACCAAAAAGGGGTACCCTCAAAAACGACAAGTGGCCATGGGGCAATGTTCAGGTCAGCCACCCCGGCTGAAAGATCCGCTCTTTTTATTCACATGGTACTTACAAAAAGCACACGCCCAAGGTTCGATCAAATTGCCATTGGAAGGGCAGGGACAAGGACTCACTGAGTTTCCCATGAGTGGAAACTGGTGGAATCTCCGTGCCTATGGGTTTGTGTCAAAATCAAAAGGGCACCCGGTCCTTCTTGGTTTCCCTTCAAAACCGAAGAAGCTGCACCAAATCCAAAAAAAACACGTCCATATGGGTCTGTCTTTTTAAGCAGCCCCCTGTTTGTTCGGTGGTTTAAAATGAAAACTGCAAGGAGAACCACCTTGGAGGCCCCTTTTTGTGGTGGCTTCAAAGGAAAACCGCGAGGACACCCCACCAATTCAAAAAAAGGGGACACGCACCATATCTTCCAGGACTCCCTGTCCAAGAAGCGCGGGCCTGAGGACCGGCCCGGCTCACACAAGCAAATCGATGATCAGGGTGGCGGTTGATCACTCGGGTTTTATCCAACCACTGTGATGCCTGCGGGAACCTCCCTCTTTATATGGGGAGGGCTCGTCTTTGCCCTTTC